CCGCAGCCCCGGGGCACCCACCCACCAGCCCTGGCTCACCCAGCGCCCACCCGCCTCCTCACCATGGGTGCGAGCTTTGAGGGGTGTCTTTGGAGGGGGATGAGGGGTCCCAAGCCTCAGCCTGCTCCAGCTCAGCCCCCCGCAGCCCCGCTCACCTGTGAGAAGCCCCCCAGGATGATGCGGTTGGGTGGGATCCCGTTCTTCATCTCATGCTCAATAATTGCTTTAACTGGAAGAAGGCAGAGAAACGGGTCAGTGAAAGATGGGGGGGGCTGAAGAGCTGCACCCAAGGCCTGGGGGTGCACACAGGACCCTCAGCGTGACAGGGAGAGGCTGGGGGCAGAGATCCAAGGGACTGAACACACGTGGCTTCAGCCAGGGAGAAGGTGGGCTGGGATCACAGGGGAGCAGAAAGGAAGGGAAGGCGGAAGGAAGAACTCCGATACTGTCCCCGTGGGGAAGAGGCCAGCGCTTCCCCCTCCCCTCAAGCCTCTTACTGTTTTCTGCAGCTTTCTTGATCCCAGCTTCATCCTCCGGTGCGTCCGGAGTCAACCCCATCAGATCAAACCTGGGAGAAGAAGCAGGGTCAGCCCCAAACCTCTCCCAGCACCCGGGATGCGGGAGCTGGGTCTGCTCTGGCCTTCCCCGGCTCCTACAGGACACTGGATTTTGGCTCCTCGTCCCCCCCATCCCTCTCACTCCCCAAAACACAGCCTCCCACCCACCCCTGTCGCCCACAGCACTGACCAGGAGGGCATCACCATCTTCATGTTGAGGGTCACCGGGATCCGGGGCCTGCGGAGAAAACAGTTTGGCTCTTTTAGTTCGAGGGCAAGAGCAGAAAATCCTCGGCCCTCTGCCCGCAGCGGCAGGACACCTCTCCCAAGGGACAGCAGCGGGTCGGTGCCACCAGACCCAGCCCAAGGGCTGCAAGGTGACCCCAGGGACCACCCGCAAGGCCCGAGCAGGTCCCGGCTGAGCGGGCGGCTCCGGGGCGTTGCCAAGCAGCCCTCGGGGAGGAGAGCACCTGCGTCCCTCTCCTGCGTGCTGCCGCCGAGCCAGGAGATGCTGACGGAGCGGCTGCC